ATATATATATATATAAACATATAAATTTTTATATATATATATACACATATATATGTATATAACTTCGTATTTTGAAGAGATGAATATTTGAATACTACACTAAGCACGTAGTTGCATCCAATCCAATCCAATCCGATCCTAAACAACAACCCTATCTAATTATGTGCGCCAAATGCAACCTTATAGTTCAAAAATGGCATCACTTTCATTCTATTTTTCTAAATTTGTTGGAAACATAGAACAGAATCACTTTAATTACCCTTTGTTTTAATATTAAAGAAGCAACTAAAGATAAATGCTTTTCTTGATCCCCTTATGGCACTAAATAAAAGTTGAATAAAATAGTTGTCTAAAGTTTCAGAAATGAACCTCGTATCCACCGTAAATGAGGCCCATAAATTCACTCATGCAATTGCGATGATAATACGGAGGTCGAAATGTATGCTCAGCAACCAGCCATCGTGGTGGGAAAACGACAAAATCAAGCAACGCAACACCAGGCTTGTCAGTAGGTGCTGTCAATACTGTATGATAATTGCAAAAATCAGTCATTATAATTAAGTTAATTTTAGAATTAAACTACAAAACATGTTAAGAATTACGTATACCTGTGTTAATAGATGGGTCACTATGATCAACTAAAACTGTATTGTAAGGGCAGAATTTACTGAGATCATACTGCAAATGCAAGCAAACAAGGCTAAGATCGATCATTGAAATCTTGCGAGGAGGTAAGCACAGTTATATTGCTTCAAAAAGCGATTTAAAAAGGTCAAGTCGAACAACTACAAATGCATACGAAACAATGAATAAGATAACACCCACCTTATAAGGAACATGATTACCATGCCAAGCAACTACATTGAAGGGAGAAAAGTCTTGTTTTGCAGTGAAAAGTTCACCACCAAACTTTTGTACAATAGTGTAGCCCGGACGGCGACCGTCTTCAAACCATGCTGTAGGAGCAAGGAAATCTCTTGGAGCAGCAAGACCATTAGCTCCTATAGTATTCAAATGAAACATTATTTCTTAAAAGTTATAAAAAGGTCAGAGTAGTCCATATTGTAGGAACTGAGAATAATACACTTTATACTATTCATTCACTAGTCAGAGCTAATCAGGGAATTGGGTACCTATTGGGCCAAGATCAGGAAGTTGAAAATGGGCACCAAAGATCTCAGCTACATAACCACGAGATGGACCATCAGGCAGATCAACAGCGAAACGAAATCCTTGAGGTAAAATGGCAACTTCACCAGGAGAAACTTGCAGTTTTCCACATTCAGTAGTGATCCACAGCCCTAAAAAACCAGAATAAAGTATCTGATAGAATACTAGATCAATTACACAATCCGCAACATAAATAAGAAATATCACTATAACCTGATATAGTGTGGAGAAAGCTTTTAAAAAAATAAAAAATAAATAAAAATAAAAAAGAAAGTAGACATGCAGGACCGGACAAGATCATGCCTTCTAATTTTCTCCAAACTTTATTTCCACTAAAATGCAACAAGACCCTCCAAGAGATGGTATGAACCACAATCCTCCTATATCCCACTTGCTCTTAAAAGTCCGTTGGGAGTCTTGCAATTAAGATTGAGATAATTTTTTTCTTTATTGATAAAGAAAACAAATACAGACCCCGTCCGTCCATGAAGACGCATGAAAACTTGACCTCATACAAGCCAATGGGCAGACTCATGCAACAAAGAACCAATAAGATTTACAAAGAAGAAACTGATCACCAGCGAAAATTCTTTGTTCTACAGTTATCCCCAATCGTAATTGATGATCACAAAAGCCACTTACTTCCTTTCTGGGGAACTATCAAAAAGTCACCATCAGCGTTGCAAAATGCACAATTATCCATCGATTTGTTGGCAGTATACCTACAAATAAAATATAACACTGTTCACCAATGACTACATAAAAGCCTTCATAGTTCACCGATTTTTTTTTCCTTATTTCAACAAGTCTAGTATTCTCTAGAAACCCCTTTAATAGTGGGGAAAAATAAGAAAAGGAAAAATCTTTCAAGCTTGAAAATCAAATCAGTAAGAATGTTAAGAGGAAGAATATATGAACAAGCAGTCTTAAAATAGTGAATTCTACCAATCTAGCACAAACTACAATTTACTTTTTTAACCACGTACTATCCCTTATTTTCTCAACTTTTGGAACAATCTGTTTAGACCCTTAAAAACAGTATATCGAAGATTAGTTTAATAAGGCTTCACCAGTCAGCAAGCAATAAAAAAATCTCAACCATAATACACTTTTCATATGTAATAACTTTTTTACTTATCTTATTCTACTGATTAAAACTATGATCAAAGCCAATGCAAACGGAATGGGGTCCCAATTAGCAGTCAAGAAGTCAACTTAGGAACTTCATTCGTAACCCCTTTCGAGATTTTGAGCAAATATGAAACATCTAAGGCTAATTCAACTATAATCTCAAGACATGGGTGTAATTTACAGTTGGATAAAATAAACCCGAATCTCATATCGTTTAAATACAACAATAAACACTGACGCCCCACTTAACCGGTTGAACTTTTAAGAGGAAAGTCCAATTTCTATCACCACCAAAAGAAATCAATAAACAAAACAACAAGAAATACCAATTACATGTGAACAGCAAAACCATGGCGGAGAAACGAGCTGCCAGCCCCACAAACTGTGAACAAGCCGTCAACGAAATCGGTGGGCGAGTCGGGAATCTCGACGGGCTTCCACCGCAACTGGGTCGGCGTGGCGGAGCTGTTCGATCGGTCGAATTCGCTCAAAAGCTTGCCATGGCTGGGGACCCGGGGCTTGAACGGTTCGTGGGTCACCGAGGGTTTGATCCGGTAAAGCCAACTGCCAAACAAAAACAACATCAGAGGTGTCGTATGGAAAATGGATTTGATTGTTTGAAACTTTTTTTTTTTTTTTTGGTTTTACCTGCGGAGATTGAGCTTGCGAGGGGAAGTGAAGGAGGTGCCGGAGATTTGCTCGGCGTAGAGGGAGTAAGGGCAGAGGAGGGGGCTGTTCTGGCCGTGAGGGAGAGCTCCGGCGAGGGCCTCCGACGAGAAGCTGTTTCCGTACCCTGACTGGTACGACAATTCCTCTAACGAGTTTTCGTCACCCATCTATGGCGTTTCTAACGTTTTTTTGTTTTTTCTCAAGTAGGAAGAAAAGAGGGTGAGAAAGAGAGATCTGTTGAACTCAAATGATCGAAAGGAGACAACTCTTGTGTATGGGAAAATCAATGATCATATCTCCTGAGTTTTATTTTTTTTTATTTTTATTTTTTTATTCGAACGTTAGAGATAAGAGTGTGGATTTACCGAGGCAGTTTCTTTTTCTGGATTTTTTTTTTCTTTTTTTGCTGGTTAAACTTTTCTGGATTATTCCCTGTTGTTTGGATTTTAGGGTCATTTTCTCAGGGTAATTTTGGAGTCATTCTCTCATGAACTTTAAACATTCTCATTTTACGTATTAGAAAAAACTTTTATTTTGTACTTTAAATTTTAACTTAGTTTCAGTTATGGTATGTTTAATAGGATGGAATAAAAATATGGGAGTGATAAAAAATAAGAATAATGAAAAGAAAATTAATTTTTTTTTATATTATTTAGTACAAAAAAATGAATCTATTTTTACTTATTTGATATTAAAAGTTAAATTAAAAAAAAAAAGAAAAAACTTTTATTTTGTACTTTAAATTTTAACTTAGTTTCAGTTATGGTATGTTTAATAGGATGGAATAAAAATATGGGAGTGATGAAAAATAAGAATAATGAAAAGAAAATTGATTTTTTTTATATTATTTAGTACAAAAAAATGAATCTATTTTTACTTATTTGATATTAAAAGTTAAATTAAAAAAAAAATCTTACTCATAAATTATTTTATACTCACAAATAATATTT